GCACTGTTATATCATATAAAACACTCTAGCGATCGAATATAGACAGTGCACTGTTATATCATATAAAACACTCTAGGGATCAAATATCGACAGTGAACTGTGATATCATGTAAAACACTCTAGGGATCTAATATAGGCAGTGTACTGTTATATCATATAAAGTACTCTGGAGATCAAACATCGACAGTGCACTGTTATATCATATAAAACACTCTAGGGATCAAATATCGACAGTGAACTGTGATATCATGTAAAACACTCTAGGGATAAAACGAAACTTTGATGCTGATGGATCGTCATGTATATCTAACGCTTTCGGTATTAGATCTCTAGTAGCTATATCTTTCCTTAAGAAGTTAGAAAAATGAGAAAGAAAACACTTGATGTGAAAGTGTAAAACCACACGATTCTGAATTGTATTCAACACCATTGTGTAGATGATAATAGTGGTCACAAGACTGCACGAAGTAGAAAGCTGTTTGCAGATTGTGAAGACATTCGAATGGAGCTAAAGACGTGGACATCATCTTCCATGCGGGAATTTAAGTGTTGATTGCATCTTTGGTAAGGTAAAGCAGCTGCTCTTTTGTTGCTTAAATAAAGAATGTATACATTTAGTCTGTTCGCATTCATACACAATCTCCTATACATTTCTGTTACTGTATAAAACAGCAAATGGGATTCAGTGCAAGCATTGTTAATGTAATAATATAATTATAATAATGAAATTAATTGTTTGCAAATACCGTAAGGAACTCCGCAGGTTAATGACTAATTTGGAATTCTTTTTTACTTAGTGTTTGAGACACTAATATGCGTCTTTTTAAATTAATGTTTAGCCCCCAACGTAGGGTTTATCTATTTAATATTATAGTCTCTAACTTGAGTATTTTATTCAATGTTTTAGTCACTATCATACGACTCTTTTATTTAATATTTTAGTCAGAGTGGGCAAAGCACAGACAGCCCAATGTGTGAGTTTGTGCTTAACAACAAACAAACAAGTGTTCTACTAGAAAATATTAATTAGAAAGGCCTGATTTACACTTTCGTAATCTTCTTTTAACAGAAGCCATAGAGTGCTTTTTTTAAAAAAGTGAGTTCTATCAGCTATTGATCTAACAATCAACTGAGTGGTAAATGCTATTTTCTGACCTAGTGAGTCACCTGTTCTCGGTGCTTATAGTCGCATGCTAACTTTGCTTTCCAATAAAATCTGAGAGAAAAACTTTTGGCTTACGTATCCTTTCCAATTGCATTGTAGGCCTAAGGAATGGATCGATCAAAATCTCGTTATCCTATTAGTTTAGTAACAAATAAACGAAAGTCAGCATCTATTACTTAAGTATAGAGAAGTTTATGAGTTCAACGAGAAAGTCAAGTAACCCTATATTACTAATTTCTAATGTTTGACCTTCAGTTCTTGTAACTTTTCAACTACTGTTGTGTCAACAAAGATGGGTTTGTTTAGAAGCAAGCATCGCTGAATGAATCGTCAACAATTAGTACAACAATACATATTCAACTGATTGTACTACACATACCAATAAGTATGCAACTGTTTGTTTAGAAGCAAGCATCGCTGAATGAATCGTCAACAATTAGTACAACAATACACATTCAACTGATTGTACTACATGTACCAATAAGTATGCAACTGTTTGTTTGGAAGCAAGCATCGCTGATTGAATCGTCAACAATTAGTACAACAATACACATTCAACTGATTGTACTACACATACCAATAAGTATGCAACTGTTTGATTAGAAGTAAACATCACCATATGAATCAGTAACAATTAGTACACCAATACTATATTAAAACATGAATCACGGGGCCACAGACAGTCCGATGTTTAAAGGGGTGGACGGTAGCAGCTGAAGATTCCGAAAGGTGCTGAAAACAACTGTCCATTTGAAATTAGAAATTTTTTATTTCATTGTAAGAACAATCTTTTTTTTTACAATTTGGTGATTTATGTGATATCATGACATTAAGCTCTTGAAGGAATAGATTAATTATTTTGATACAAACAAAAGGTAAAAAGCGTGATATTTGTACAGGTAGAAGAAGAAGGACTTTCGTTGTACGAACCGTTGTAACATAATGCATAAAAAATCAGAACTCGATAAATCAATTTCGCAACAGGATAATAAAATATTGAGGTATGTAATTATGGCCAATCGATGCTTATAGAATTAAAGTAGCGCTTTAAAATCCCCATTAGATGGTAGATACCCGTGTGACAAACACTTATGCTGCTTCAAATGATGCCGTTTATATACGATTATCCACTTTCATAAAGTTCGTTTTGGTAGTGGAAGATCTAGTCTTATATTTCCATGATGAGCGCAAAATAGATTATGTATTGTACGTATAAAACACAAATATAATCATGCTTACAATTCTTGACTAACTTTCGAACAGTATAGTATAACACGCTCGAGAACATTTATTCCAGAGAATCCTATAACAGAGTGTGTTCTGTAGCTTAGTGGTTCCCAAACTCCTTTAATTTCAAATTAGATGAAGAGGAACCAACTTTCAGACTAATAATGCTTGGAGACGGCTTGAATGGGTAATGAAGAAAAACTTTAATATAAGTTTAACATAACAGCAAATGTACAAGGTTTTGTCATTATCAGGTAACTTTACTTTTAGTCTGAGGCTCCCTTGATGTCAATAACAAAAACTCTGAGCCTCCCCCCCTCAACCTATAACCACTGTTATTAACATTTTACGAAAATTATAGCAATTTAGGCTAGCTTGTCTTACGCTTGCGTTATAGGTATGAATACTATCAGTCAGACTCTCTCGAGTCTCGCAACCGACTAACGTGGTTGTCTCCCCCCCTTTCCACTATTTTAGCATGGTGATTGAAAAGCAGTGCTGCAGTAAAAATAATAACATCTCCTTTCAACATACTGTAACATTTAATTAATTTAATATAATTGTTTATCGGCTTATTGTTTATTAAGAATTAAAATTAATTCGGCATCTTTGTTTTCGGACCATTTTTTGGCGTCCCCCCTAGAGAAAGCTTCACGGCCCTCAGAAGGACCGCGGCTCCCACTTTGGCAAACACTACCATAGCTTACAACCTGTAACCGTCACCGAAACAGTATCATAGTTGAGTTCGTGTATACTTTACTAACAGTAACCAGTCTTTTTATATGTAATGTTTAACGTCTATATTCCAATAAAAATAAGTGGGAAAAATTAAATATTAGTCATAGGCCAGTCCAATCGGTTATAATCATGAGTAAACATTCCACAGATATTGAATTCCACCAGAAAATAAACATAACATAAGAATGTAAACGTAAGCTTCTCCAAAATGACAGTTTTTCTGTTTGTTTGTTTCTGTTTAAGCGCAAAGCTGCAGGATGCGATATCTGAACTGTGCCAATCGCAGGGATCGAATACGAATTTTACCATTATAAGCACTTAAGCTTATCGCTGATCCACGGGGGTCATGGAGTTTGAAATTTTTCTTTTGGAGCTGTTTCATCATTTTTTAACATACCTAATTACGGTTCTCTTCTTCACTTGCTCACCCCTAGCTTTAATTGAGAGCAAAAAACCGGGTTATTATTTATTGTTTCCAACAGTTGTAGAGTCAGTGCTTTCAAGTCGAGCCGAGTATCTTAGGGTTCCACTATTTTGGAGATATGGGATATACCTTGGTGATATTTTAACGTAAAAATATATTTATGTAACTGTAAAGATACCTTCCTACCTAGACATTTGTATCAAAATAGCATGCCCCTCAATGGTACAGCGGAAAGTCTTCGGGCTGATACCATAAAAAACCGGGTTTCGATACTCGCGGTGGGTACAGCACAGATAGCCCTACGTGTAGACTTGTGTTTAATAACAAACAAAATAACACAGGTGCAAACAACAACAAAAATGCTCTTATCATCAATAACGCACAATATCTTATTAGTGATGATAATATTACCACCTACCGCCTTTTACTCGAACTATTCTACTTCCAACAGTCCCTACGGCATTGGAGGCAACACATCGATAGGTGGTGTCATGAACGTCTTGTCGGTACTCCTTCGCACCAAATTGTGTGAAAACCAGTGAACCATCCGGCCGAACATATCTAAGACCAGGAACGTTAGTTACTATTTCTTCGTTTTCCTTCGTCCAGGTGACTGCAGGTGGAGGGTTGCCTTGAGCAGAACAAGGAATAACTGTTCCTGTATCATTGGCAAAGTTAGCGATACCTGGAGGTTCAGTAACGAACGTAGGCCCTTCTCTGGACAAAGCATCCAAGAAATCTATAAGAATAAGACATTAATTTTACAAACATTGCTACAAACTTTCGTTATTAACTTCGGGAATATCGACTTTTTTTTAATTTCTAAGAGCATTTTCTGACAAATTTAGTACCTTGACATAGTTTCTATGTCGTATATTTCACAAAAACAAATATAGCGGATTTAAATAAATATTAATGGGAAGACTGGTTTTAACCCGTAATTGATTTTATGCTGTAGGAATTATTGATTAAAAGCAATAAACAATCACAAATTTCCATAATTACAAGAACCTGCAAATGAAATCGAAGGTTGGTCCCAAAATTGATATCACGGATAGTCTTTTCCTATACTCATAACCGGGTTGATCTTTCGTTTATCAGGTATTATTGGGTTTACGGCCGAAAACATCGTTAACAACGATGTATTCTAATCTATATAAATAAAATCGTAAAAAAAGTAAATTTAATTAAATATAGTCGTTACCTGGTTGGTTTATAGTTTTGATCTATGATGAGACTTGCTTTTATCGGAAGTTAACATATTGATTTTAAAGTTAAGAAGGTATGACAAGCATACGACTCTTCTTCATGAAAAACATGTGATTTGAATTGTTTTCTATTGGCCTGTCAGTTCATTTCAAAGTGTCCAAATTTGTTTGTTTGTTTTAGAAAGCAACAATAGTCTATCTGCTGTGTTCACCGCGGGGAATCGAACCCCGGATTTTAGCGTTGTAAATCCGTAAAGTTATCGCTGTTCCAGCGGGGGACCAAAGTGTCCAAAACATGCTTCTTTGTAAACTACAATAATATTCCTCCCTTTGAACAAAGGAAATCTTAATGATAACTTGGAGCGTTTATACCTACTAATATTATAGACTCGAGGTAAACAAAGAGAAACATGTCATCGCTTTTTGTGTCACATCACGAAATATAATCGCGTTTTAACAGGCGCATATCATGTGTCCTAATCATTTTGATATCTTTGTAAGAAACTAGGTTTGTATGTAAATTCAAATTCCTAGTAATTGTAGATTTCGCCCCCCCCCCCCAATATTCTAGCTTTTTCTCTAAATATAATGATATTATTGACGGGATAGAACAACTTTTACTTTTATAAAGATCAACAACGAATGATATTAAATCCTGAGTTAGTGATCTTAGTTTCAGTAAAGCAATTTAACAAACTTACGTTTTTAAACATTCAATAAGCAGCACTTTGGTCTGAACGTGATAACCTCACACACACACACACATATATATATCTATATATATATATATATA